AACTCCCTTACATTCATCAGCTGTTACATGGTCCAGTGATGGTTCCCTTTTCCAGTACCACAAAAGTTTAGTGCAGTCTGTAAAATAATGACATTCTTTCCTTATGCATAAAAAAAATCTACATTATTGCCAAAATTTTGTCATAGAAGTTAAAAATATGCTGATAGAAAATGTATTGCTAGAAAAGTGTGGCACTTAGGTTTTTCCCTTTTGTTTCAAGTTCGCGGAAGAAGCACCAGGCTTTGGCATGTTCAGTTTGACATCCTGGAAGAGATGTAAACATTGTGGGTACATCAGATAAACTTGCTCAAGAGGGGCCGTGAGAATCCTGTTCTAGCGTATGAAAGACAAGTCTAGTTTAAAAAAGAAGAGAGAAGAATTGACGGTTCCTTGGGTGAAGTGAGACAGGGAGAGGGATTGTTGTAGTGTTCACAGAAATTGTAGTGGAATGGAGCTGGATGAGACCTCCAGCCACATTCAGTGCAACCCATTGCCTGAAGCAGTTTCAGGTGTGTGCAAAGCAGCCCAGACAAACCCTGTGTCCGACCTCTGAGCAACATGACACAGTTTCCCCTGACAGCCCGAGATATTGCACCTGATCCCACCACAGGAAAAGCAGGGGGGCCATAGCACCTAATGTCCTGCTGCTGCTGCGCAAAGGTAGTTAATAGACACTCTGGCGCATCTACATGTTCATTAATGCACAGTAGTTACAGTTTAGTACTTGCTTAATGAAGTACTAAACTAAATGCACAGTAGCTACAGTAGTACGTCCCAGGGAGTAGTAGTACCTCCCAGGGAGGAGGCACAGAGCAGGCCAGGGGAGCAGGGCAATGGACAGAGGCAGGGCCCATGGTGGGTTCACACCTCCCCACAGACCAGGAGGTACTGGGGTCTGCAGTGGAGCAGGGAGGGGGTTGGGGGCGCCATTCATTCGAAAGCCAAAAGCAGACGGGGTCAGACCCAGGTCCCCCTTCCTCCCCACCCCCCAGGCCACTCGCCCAGGCTCATTGGCAGTCAAGGAGGGTAGGATCCATGTGTTGCTGTAATGCCCTGCCTGCACCCGCAGTGAAAAACAAGACAACTTGTGGTGCTGGACACCCACCCCAGAGCAAAGCACAGCAGAGGGAACCCAGGATACCTAGGTCCCAGTGCCCACCCCAGAGCCAGCTGCACGCAGGTTTCTCTCCGTGAGAGCTGCTTTTTACCTTCACCATGTCACAGCTGATCACCTGTCAACCTTGCTGTTTACAGAAGCTGACACGTGTAGGGCCATTGAGGAGGGTAGGGCTGAAGATGACCTCCTCTGTGGGGCTGGTCTTTGTGGGAGAAACTGGAGCTGTAACCACAGCCTTGGAGAAGCTGGAAGCTGCAGGAGAAAGGGGAATGTTCAGGCAGACATGCTCCCCCCACTACGCCCCCCAGCACAGCTGGTAAGAAAATCCTGGGGGCTGGGTACAGCAGGGAGCTGAGCTGCAGCTGGCTCAGGGGTAGGCATGGGGGGCTGGGTATAACCAGGATGGGATGTGGCTTGCTCTGGGGTGGAGCTGGTACTGGGTAAAACAGGGCTTACCCCCTTGAATGGAGGTGTCCAGGCTCCCAGCCCCACCCTGCTCCAACCCACCAGTCCTCACTCCCCTCCCAGAGCTGGGGGAGAACCCAGGCATCCAGGCTCTCAGCTCCCCCACCACGGCTTACAAGGACTAGAGGAATATACCAGGGGGTCGTTCATCCAAGGAGGTACTGTCACGGTCTGCTGCATGATGTTTGGGTGGGACTGGTCCCCAAACATGATATTGTATCACCACATCAGCACCACTGCACACAGCCCCAGTGCCACCATTATCTGACAAAGCAGATTGGGAGGGGAAGCAGTTTTAAGAACAGCAAGTGCAAAACACTGGGTTTCTTGTTCCAAATCCTAAAGCCAGGGGGGCTGGAAGGGACCCCCAGAGGGCACATCTAGTCCAACCCCTGCCTGAGGCAAGATCAGCCCTGTCCAAACCAGCCCAGATACTTCCAACCTCTAACCTCTTTCTAAAGCTAGCATCACCCCTGCCAACCCCAGGCAGCACCTGCGCTGGGGAAAGCAACGGGGCCAGGGCCACCATGTCCTGCTGCCAGGGGGGTCAGAGGCGCTTCAGAGAGCCAAGGCCAAGGCTGTACCCCTGTTGCAGGCAGAAGACCAATTTGGCCAGGCTGGGCCAGGTTGAGCAAGGAGGAAATCCCTTCCTGCCCACAACTGATCTAACCCTGAGTGGAGAAGCAAGACCCTCTAGCCAGGACCCTCCAAGGAGCATTGGCACAACCCAGTCCTCATCCCAGGTCCAGCCAATACCCAGTGCCTTTGAGGGGGGGGAAAACCCCTTGACACATGGAGCAGTAAGGGGGGGCACCCACCAGGGTCCACATCCGGCAGCCTGGAAGAGCCGCACAGCAGAGCACAGGCTTTCTTCTTCTTCCTTCATAAGACATTTTAGGAGTACAACGTTCATAGATTAATATCTAAATCTGATAACCATTTGACTGCTTCAGGGGTAGCTGCATGCATTGGTTCTAGATTGCCATTAAATGATCTAATTGGGCAATTGTTCACAATGTGTACACTGTCTGAAAGGCACTGTGACATACCAACATATTCTGAAAGTGACCTCTGCATCGACGTCTCAGCAGCCCTGGTGGCCTCTGGTATCTGGGAGAAAGATGCATGATTATTCCTCGCTCCTCCCCACAAAAGCCTGGCCAGAGAATCCAGGCACCGCTCTCACCCCCGCCCCCCCAAGATACGCGCCCTTCTCCCCTCCCACAGCTGCGAGGGAACCAGGCATCCGGCCTCCCACCTGCTCCCCCATCCCCATTGCTTATGAGCTTGCAGGACGGCACCAAGGCTGAGTCCCACTGGGCACAGTCCAGTCACTACCACCAGCCTGGGCAGCAGCCAGCATCTAGCACCTGCATGGGTCCATGCTCCCCACGGACCCATGGAGCAGCAAGGGAGGGGGCAGCCTGGCAGAGCCCGGGGCAGAGCACAGGCACCAGGATGCCCAGGTCCCCCCCTCCCAGGGACTGTCATGCTCTGGAAGGCAGGCAACCTGCGCCCCGTCTGGAGCTGGACGGTGGTCTGGGATGGGGGAAGATGCAGGATGACTGTGCCCACAGAAACTGGGATAGAGGACCTAGGTGTCCGGGCTCCCAGCCCCCCTTCTCCCCTACGCCCCTCCCGGAGAACCCAGCCCCCGGGGACTGCAGGATCACCAGGGCAGCTGGTGCAGTTGGGGCGTCAGACACCCCCAGCAGCTTCTCCATTATGTCCTGCCCGGGTCCCTCCTGCCGGCCCAGGGCCTCTCCACTCTGGGGCTCTTCTCTCTCTTCCACCATTTCGCCACTTCCTACAGCATCCCAGGGGCCCAGCATACAAAACGCGCCTGTGCAGCTCGCCCCTTGCTCCAGCCGTGGAGCTGTGCCCCACCTTCCAGTTTGGAAAAGGTGGCAGGTAGGGGGTGAGGAGCACCGGCAGCCTAGCACCCTGCACTCCCGACCTGCAGCCCCTGGCTCCCCAGCCCTGCTGGTGCCCCCACTCCTGACCCACAGCCCTCTGCCCCCCCGAGCTCTTCACTCCTGACCTGCAGCCCCTTACCCCTCCCAGCCCTGCTGATGCCCCTCAGTCCTAACCCAGATTTCACTGATTTCATAGGCATTAGGGCTGGAAGAGACCTCCAGCGATCATCGAGTCCAGCCCTCTGCTATAGGCAGGCAGTCTGCTAAGGTCAAATGATCCCAGCAAGATAAGCATCCGAACGCCTTTTGAAAGAGTCCAGAGTAGGTGCTTGCACCACCTCTGTGGGGAGTCTGTTCCAGACCCTGGACACTCAGACTATAAAGAAGTTTTCTCTTATGTCCAGTCTAAATCGGCCTTCCAGAAGTTTGTGACGGTTAGACCTTGTTACCCCTTGGGGAGCCCTGGTGAACAACTGTTCTCCCAGATCTTGGTGCACCCCCCTTATATACTTATAGGCTGCCACCATGTCCCCCCTGAGCCTTCTCTTCTCCAGACTGAAGAGTCCCATGCCCCTCGGCCTCTCCTTGTAAGGCTTGCTCTCCTGGCCTTTAGTCATGGGGGTGGCTCTCCTTTGAAATTTCTCAAGCTTATGCATGTCCTTCCTGGATTGGGGGGTCCAAAACTGGATGCAGTACTCCAGCTGAGGCCCGACTAAGGCTGAGTAAAGTGGGAGGATGACGTCCCTGGTTTTGCTTGAGATGGATCGGTGGATGCATGACAGAGTTTGGTTTGCCTTGCCAGCTACGGCATTGCATTGGTGACTCATGTTCATCTTGTGGTCAATCAAGACCCCCAAGTCTCTTTCAGTCATGGTGCCAGCGAGTGTAGCAGTGCTGAGCCTATAAGTATGATGCTGGTTCTTCCCCCCAAGGTGGAGCACCAAGCATTTCTCCGCATTAAATGCCATCAGGTTTTGATCCACCCACTTTGTGAGCCTATCCAGATCAGCCTGTTTCCCCAGTCTATCTTTCAGTGTGACCACCTTTCCCTATAGTTTAGTGTCATCTGTGAACTTTGCCAGTCCGCATCTGATGCTCAAATCCAGATAATTTATAAAGATGTTGAAGAGTATTGGCCCAAGCACTGAGCCTTGAGGGACACAACCGGTTACCTTGCATCAAGTTGGTTTGCTCCCATCAACCAATACTCTTTGGGTCTGGCCCCGGAGCCAGTTCCACAGTCATCAGACCATGAGATGGTTGAGGGCCACAGTCTGCAGCTGCCCCTTGTCAGGCAGGAATGGGAGTGTTTGGGGAGGGCACGTGTAGATGCACACAGGTTGTTCCCTGGTGGACAGAGCTCTCCAGCCGTGTGTTTACAGCAGGGCTCCTTGCAGTGAGTATAATGCGATCTCCAGTTCCCAAAGAAGATCACAGGCCTCAGGAAAGAGTGGTGCTGGCTGACTGGGTCATAGACTGGAATGAATAAAAGCCATTCCTGTGTTTCAAAGGGTGATGTAACACTAAACCTGTTAATTCACTACTAAGCATCACATAGGCAGGGCTAGACTAGCCTTGAGAATTTAGATACATAAATGTCAGGACTGGGTTGTGCTGTCTCTCGTGGGCAGGCTTGGGCCAGTTAATGAATCCAGGCTTGCAAAGAACATCGAGGCACTCTTGACAGCACTTTCAGTCCATTTTGTCCTGCATCCTGACCCTGGAACAGCTGCGCACTGGCCCCCATGGACACACTAAAGGAGAGCTCCATCAGTTCCAGCAGCACATTGCAGTTCTGGTCCCCTGGGTTTGTTATGTGCCACCCAGCTGAGTCCACTATGGCTGCTCCAGGTGCTGTCCTGAGATTTGGGTACAGGCTTCCAGCCTCCCTGGGGAAAGCATGGGTCTTTTTGCATCAGTCAGCATCTCTAGTGCCTGCCTGCGGGCTGATCTGGCAGGGTCATGCCTGCCGTGCTGTGGGCATTCACTAGGTGGCAGGGTCAGCCCGAAAGAGGAAGGACAGGAGGAGCTTATGGGGATGCTATTCTTGGAAAGGGCAGGTCTGCAGGATCCAGGATGTGGCAGGCAGTCCTGTGCTAGATGCTTGGCTTCTCTAGAAGCAGACTTCCACTCCCCTCTTCTCAAGGACCCCCTGACTCACCATCTTTCCCCAGGGCAGCTGGACCAACCTCTTTTCACTCCCTTGACCTCCTGCTGGAACAGATGGAGCCGAAGTCCAGCTTAGACCCACCAGTTGGTGTGTCTGTAGGGCTTTTGGGCAGGCAGACGGTGACCAGTCAGATTTGCCAAATTTTCATGTGCCTAGGCTAATACTGGCATGTTTGGCTGGAATCTGAACCAAGCTGGATTCACACAGCTGCTAAATTAATATATCTTGAAAGCTCTGGTTACCTGAGCTAGAAGGGGACAGGTGCTCAGCATAGGTTAGAGCCGAGCTATGGGCCCTCCTGATTGAGCTAACACCCGAGGCATCTCCAAATTGAAAAGGTAAAACACTGGAACAGGTTACCTAGAGAGGTTGCGAACAGGGCCAGATTAACCCTTTAGTGAGTCCTCAGCAAACCAACTCAGGGGCCCCTACTTAATACTGTATACTTAGATTACTTTTTTCACTCAATAATTATAATATGTAAAATAAGCACAACTGGGCCCCTTCTTCATTTAGGGCCCTAGGCATATGCTTAGTCTGCCTATGTGTTAATTCACCCCTGGTTGTGGACTTTTTATCCTTTGAAGTTTTCAAGACCTGGCGAGACAAAGCCTTGGCTGGGATGATCTAGTTGGGGATGTTCCTGCTTTGAGCAGGGGGTTTGGACTAAATGACCTCCTGAGGTCCCTTCCAACCCTAATTTTTTGTGAGCGCTGTGTGCTCCATTGGAGAAAGGAGCAAGGAGGTGGAGCAGGGAGACTGACGTAAATTCCCTTTGATGTTCCCTCCACTAGTATCTTTTTTTTTCTCTCCCACTCCTGTCCTTGCAGGTGATGCTATGGTTGATGCCTTTCTGCTGCTACTCTGAATGTTTGTCCCCCTGGTCTTCCTCCAAGCTGTGGTGGGGCCCACATGGCACAGGGGCTCTGTCCGCACTACCCCTCCCACACACCACAGTTCCTGGAATGGCTGCTCCTGGCTGCAGCTGGAGGAACAGAGCCTCTGCCACACTGATTTCCCTTCCACCCCCCAAGTTTTCAGGCATGGGTCTCACAGGCCAGGCTGGGTCCATGTGGCAGAGAGGCTCCATTTGCCTCCCCCACCCACAGTTCCTGAGCAGACAAGCACTAGCCAAGGCTAGCAGGCTGCCCAGTGAGGGGCCCCTGGGATACTGGGGGAATGTGGCTTACCTTAACTCAGGATGGGATGTAGTACAGACATTCAATAAAGTGCTCTGATGTAAACTGCTTTAGTCTGATACCACATCCAGCCAGGGTTAATTTAGAAGGGGAATCTACCTTTTCAAAAATGCTCTATGTGCTGTGAATGCCTGTTCAGTTATGAATGCCTGTTTGATTATGGCTTTAGAGCACTTTCTGTGCGCTTAGCATGCATTAAGTGTGTGGTGGACTTGCTGGCGGCAGCCTGGTACACCAGTTTTGGAGAGGTTTAAAGTGATTGGTGGAGAATTTCCCCCTCCCCACCAGTCAGGTGATGGAAGGGGAGAGGCTTGCCCCGCCCCTGCTCAGGGGTGAGGTGAAGAGATGGGCCAGAGACGGGACTGCCCCCGCCTCGCTCTGATTGGTCCATTTTCAATTTGGGGCAGAGCCTCCAAAGGGGATAAAAATACAGTGCCTGGCACATGGGCAGCTTCAATGACGGACAGTGAAAAGGGCTAAGAAGAGCTGGCTGAGCTGGTCAGCGGGGTGGAGCGGTTGCCCCAGAAGTGCCTGGAAAATGCCTTGCCGGATGGGGAGTGGCACGTGGTTGTGTCTCCAGCAGAGACAACCCAAGCAGGGCGCAGGGCCTGGGGCAAATCAGCCTGTGTGGGGCCCTGCCCCGGATGCAAGGAAGCTGGTGGTGGATTTGGTGAGGGGGGAGTGCCGAGCAGCCGGACGCACCGGATTCGCCAGGCAGTGGATTTGGTGGCGGAGTGGGGGAGGTGCCAAGCGACCGTAAGTGAAGCCGGCGGCAGTGCAGTCACCACGGCTGCTTTGCCCGGCTCCATGGAGCCCCCCGAAGTGCTGGGACCTGGGGTGGTCACCTCAATTCGCGCCCCCCATGGATGGCCCTGGTCTCCAGCCCCGCTGTGAGGGAGCACAGCCACAGTGCACAGAGGGTCCAGGAGCATGCAGCAGCTTGGGTCTCCAACCCCTGCATGAGGCAGAGTAGCTGGTGGGTGGATCAGTGCACGGAGGGTCTGGGAGCGGCCCAAGACCATAGTGCTGCACATGGCAGCTCGGGTCTCCACCCCCTGAATGGGGCAGGGGCTATCGGTGCATAGGACAGTGCACAGGGCCAAGAGTGGGCCAAAGGCTGCTGGCTTCCTATGGGCCTTTTCTGGATTTCAGGCTGGGTATTGAAAAATTATTAAACGGCAATAGTTAAATTCTCAGGGTTTATCTCTGTTAAACAAGTTAGTTTTTCATGCTGAACTGGACAGGTCTTGTCAGACCTTCATGTTGGCTTTGTTTAAAGCACCAGCAGATTTAAAGCAGGCCAGAAACAGCCCTAGGGAGGGTTCACGGGCTAAGGCCCCACCTGCCTTCAAAATGAACTAGAAGTCAAATGGGGATTTCAGCCTCTGGACGGTTCTCACGGTTGGAGTTGGACAGGCTCTGAGACCTCCTGTGACCTCTGTGAGATGTGCAGAGAGAAACTCCAGACTCAGTACTGGTCAGGGAAGCTCTCTTGTGGCCTGCCTGTGGGTCATGAGGATCCCAGACCGAAACTTGGCTCTGATAGAGAGCAGGATACACAGGCATGTATGCGCACACAGTGCAGCCTCTGGAGGAAAATCTGTTCTTTGTTTCCCCCCACTCCCCTCAGGGAGTGATGAACTCTTTGTTGAATTCAGAAGGCCATTGTTGGAAGTTTTCAGTGCTGTCTTCATATTTGAAAGGGAGGAATGAGTTAAAAGAAAGTCTGAGTGTGTGAGTCTTGTGTCATACAAGTTTACTAGGAAGCATGCCAGCTGTATAGCAAGCAACTTTTTTCTGTGAAAGTATGTATATGGACCCAGGCCTTTTTGTTTTCTCTGCTGTTGAAGTTTATGCTTAGCACATGATTGACTCTCCCCCCTGCCAAGTGTCAGAACTAAGAATATACTTGTCTTGTAACTTCCCTAACCTTATAAGAGGTGGTGATTGTCATGTAGAGCAATACTCATATCAGGGAGTGAGTCTCACATGGCCAAGCTGGATCTGAACAACTAGTATTTCCCAGGAAGAGCACCCTTGCCCCTGAGCAGAGCAGGTCCACCTGGTGCTCTACACCTGGCGAATTCACCAAAGCCCATTCTGGAGTGCGTGGGGCAGACGTTTCCTTACTCATCTTGTTGCCCCCTCATGCAGTGCGATACATCAGTGCTTTGTGGAGGTGGCTTGGGAGATCAGAGGTGTGGGTTCCTTAAGGAAATAACAAAAACCCCTTTCTAATTTCATAAAACATGGGAGAGCAAATGTGGCTTTCCCCTGAAACTGAGGTGAACTCACAGCCAGGCTTCCCTTCTGACATCTCAACTAACCTTTATTGTGCTCTTAGTTGGTCACTTCAATCCAGCAATCCCTGAGCATGCCCTGCCCTTGCAGTGCCTTGTTGACTGGGAACTTGGCCAGCGTTTGAACCCCCAGCACCGCGGCCTGCAGCACCCCTGTGTTTCTCAAAGGTTAGGCCTCGTCTCCATGCATTGATCATTATGGTCCCCAATCCTGCCCAAGTGCTGTAAGATTTAGGGTTATGACATTGACCTAGAGCAGGGGTCAGCACCCCCCCGGCACGCATGCCGGCACCTTCCAAGGCAGAAATTGTGGTTTTTTCGGCACTCTAGCCAAAAAACGTTGCCTACCCCTGACCTAGAGTATGCTTTAGGATAGCCAGCTTGCTGTGGTAGTCACCGATATGAGTGTAGGACACAACACTTTCTCTCTTGGTATGAAGTGACGTAGTTGCATCACCACTGCCTCGCGCTTATGGGGGTGGCTAAGTCCGCTACCAGACAGTCAGGGGTTTATTGGTTCTTCTGGTGATATGGGCTATGGAGCAAGCTTGTGACAACAAATTATCCCTAACAGCCCCCAGCTTACTGTGTCCACATATAACCAGCATTTCCAGCAGTCAGACCTTTCAGTGGAAATGGAGCAGGCCTTGTGACAGGAGCCCAGAGCCTGGACTAGCTGACGCTCAGCGTGAAGGTGGCTGAGACCCCACATCAGATTAATTGCCCCACCATAGAGGGGAAGCATCATCCAGTGGAGGGAGCACGGGCTAGGAGGCAGGCCCTTCTACGTGCCAAGTGTAGCGCTGTCACTGAATCCTTGGACAATCTCTCAACTGCTCTGTGCCTCAATTTCTCCATCTGCAAAAAGAAGAGAACAATCTTCACATGTTCCCAGGGGAGAGTGGAGCATTTATTATTTAGTTTGCAAAGAGCTTTGTAAATATGATATCTGCTATCAATGCCAACTGTGATTCAGATGGGTTAGACTATTCAGTACACATCATACAGTATCTCTAGTTCAGCATACAGCACCAGGCAATATCAGGTGTTACCCCAGTCCATCTGTCTAGTGGTCATCATCAGCCCATTGCTGGGTGCCACCTTTGCCCTGCATTCATTCGCACTGTTGGGGCAAATTCTGCTTTTGCTTGTTCTCCTCACTCTTCTGCTGAAAGAAAGGAACGTGACCAAAAGAGGAGGCGCCGTGAATCTCCTAGGTGTTTCTGTGTGTCCTTTTTTGTCCTCTTTGCAGAGAGCCTAGCATTCGCTTCCTCCCCCAGGGAAGAAGCTCCCAGCCAGCCTTGCATTTGTATGACCCTTTTCAGAGGAAGACAGAGACCAAACTGTGCCAAGGGATGTCTCCAGCCCTGATGTGCCCATTATACAAGTAGTTAAAGATTTCCACCCTACCTTTTCTGTTGTGGGATGTCTCTTACAAAGGCAATGGATCTTGTCTTGCAAAATAAACTCAATCTACCACACTTCAACCATCCCCCCTTGCCACTCCATTACTTTTCAACAGAACAGGCCGATCTACCTCAGCCAGAAACTCCCCATCATTGCTCAAGGAGAATAATGGGATCCAGATTTCTGACTTCTGCTGTTAAATGCACTGGAAAAATAAGGCTTTTTATAGTGCATTTAATGATGGT